AGATACTTAGTTGGTAGATTTTTATCCATTCTGCCATTGCGTACCTTTTTGTAAGTGGAGCATTTAGGTCATTTACATTCGACATCAGTATTGGGATGTGAGGTACTGTTCTATCCATCATGCTAGTTTTTGCCCAAAGATGTTGTTCTTTTGCCATTGTATTATTGTTTTATAGGTCTTGTGAGATTTATGATTCAATGAGGTTCTATTTTGGTGTATTCTGAGGTTTTGTTTCAAGATTTAGAACTCCCTTAAGCATTTCCTGTAGTGCTGGCTCAATAGTGGCGAATTCTCTCAGCATTTTTTTTGTCTGAAAAAGACTATCTCTCCTTCAATTATGAAGCTTATGAAGCTTAGCTTTACTGGATACAAAATTCTTGGCTGAGAATAATTTTGTTTCAAGAGGTTAAAAATGGGACTCCAATCCCTTCTGGCTTCTGGCTTCTAAGATTTCTGTGAGAAATCTGCTATTAACCTGATATGTTTTCCTTTATAGGTTATCTGATGTTCTTGTCTCACAGCTCTTAAAATTCTTTCATCTTGACTTTAGATAGCCTGATAAATATGTGCCTAGCTGATTATCTTTTTGCAATAAATTTCTCAGGTGTTCTTTGATCTTCTTGTATTTGGATGTCAAGATCTTTAGCAAGGCCAACAAAGTTTTCCTCAAATAAGTTTTCCAAACTTTTAGATTTCTCTTCTTCTGCAGGAGTATCAATTATTCTTAGGTTTTGCCGTTTAACATAAACCCAAATTTCTTGAAGGCTTTATTCATTTTAAAATTCTTTTTCTTTGTCTGATTCAGTTAATTCAAGAGCCTTGTCTTCAAGCTCTGAAGTTCTTTCTTCTACTTGTTCTAGTCTGTTGTTGAAGCTTTCCACTGCATTTTGTATTTCTCTAAGTGTGTCTTTCATTTCCTGAAGCTGTGATTTATTTTTTCTTTATATTTCTCTGGAGAAGTTTTCATCCATATCCTGTATTGTTTTTTAAAATTTCTTTATGCTGGTTTTCACCTTTCTCTGCTATTTCCTTGAGTAGCTTAATAACCAACCTTCTGAATTCCTTATCTGGCAATTCAGAGATTTCTTCTTGGTTTGGATCCCTTGCTTGGGAGCTGGTGTGATCTTTTGAGGATGTTACAGAATCCCATTTTGTCATATTACCAGAATTGCTTTTCTGGTTCCTTGTCATTTTGGTAGACTATTTCAGTGGAGAGGCTGAAACTCAAGGCCTGCTGTTCAGATTTTCTTGTCCCATGGGGTGATCCCTTGATGTGGGCTCTCCCCTTTCCCCTAGGGATGGGGCTTCCTGAGAGCTGGACTGCAGTGACTGTTACTGCTCTTCTGGGTTTAGCCACCCATTGAGGCTACCAGGCTCTGGACTGGTGCTGGGGGATGTCTGCAATGAGTACTGTGATGTGATCTATCTTCAGGTCTCCAAGCTGTGGCTACCAGCACCTGTTCTGGTAGAGGTGGCAGGGAAGTGAAGTAAACTGCAAGACTCATTGGTTGTAGGTATATTTAGTGTGCTGGCTCTCTTGAATGCTGCTTATGCTAGCAGTGAAGTTGTCATGTGGACACATTCAGGATCTCTGGTTAGCTAGGATGTTGCAGGCAGTGAAATTAGGTGTTGTCTTTTCTGTCCTGGGATCAGGGTTATTCTTTCACGAGTTGCTGTAATGGCCTGAGTTGACAGACAGCCAGGAGGTGGTGTTTTCAAGAGGGCACCAGCTGCAGTAGTTGCAGTGGGCTCTAAGCTTGCCCTAAGATGCCCAAGGTAACTATTTTGGTTTCTCAGGCAATAGGCAGGGCAATAAAGCTCCAAAGAGTTTCTATGTTTTGTGTTTGGCTTCCAGGGTGGGTAGGGAAATATTATCAGGTGGGGGTAGGGTTAGGTGGTTCTGGGCTCAGACTCTTCTTGGTCAGGGCTTGCTGTAGCCACTGTGGGAAATTAAGGGTTGGGGATGGTTTGTCAGGCCACTGGGTTTATGTTCCAGAGGGGATCTTGACTGCCTCTGCTGTATCATAAACTTCACCAGGGTAATGGGGGATAGCCAGCAGCAAGAGGCCTCATCCAGCTACTATGCAATTGGTGAGGCTAGTTTCACTCCTGCAGTGCCCTGCTTAGACCTTGCCCCAGGATGTGAGTTACCCCACTGGGAAAGCAAGCATGGCCTTTGGACCTCACCCCTTCCTGTCTGCCCACTCCATTGGCAGCAGCTCCCGTACTCACTTGTATCTGCCACGGCTCCCACTAGTCCCCTGGACTCTGCCCAAGAAAATTTGTGCCCAGCTGAAACCACTACTGATTTCATTTGGGAGCTTCCTTTGCCCTGCCACCACTCTCCAACTCCACTGGCTGCCTTTCCTGAGGGCCATTGTGAGATATAGTCAGGGTTGGCTTCCCTGGACTCAAGCTGGAGACTAGGAGTACATCCAAAGCACTTCCCGCTGCTACTTCTACTTTCACATTTCACATAACCCCCTAAATCCGTTTCATCTTTAGGTAAGGTTAAATTCTTCTTCCATGATCTGGATTTTTAGATTTCCCCAGTGGGGATGTGTATTCAGAGGTAGGTTCTCCCCGACTCACACTTTGGGAACTCAGTTTTTTTGCCTGTTTTGCAGAATTTGCAGTGGTGTGCCACTTCTTTCAAAGGATCTTTGAATTCTTTTGGTTTTCCTGGTAAGTTCCTGGTTCTTGGAACAGAAGATCATAGTGTCTCTCTATATGCCATTCTGTCCATCCATGTGGAACTGCATGTTAGCCCTGTCTTTTCTTTTTTTTTGAAATGGAGTTGGAGTTTCTGTCACCCAGGCTGGAGTGCAGTGGCATGATCTTGGCTCACCGCAACCTCTGCCTCCCGGGTTCAAGTGATTCTCCTGCCTCAGCCTCCCAAGTACCTGGGACTATAGGCGCCTGCCACCATGCCTGGCTAATTTTTCGTATTTTTAGTAGAGACAGGGTTTCACCATGTTAGCCAGGAAGTTCTTGATTTCCTGACTTCGTGATCTGCCTGCCTTGGCCTCCCAAAGTGCTGGGATCACAGGCGTGAGCCACCGTGGTGGCCAGCCCTGTCTCTTATCTGCCATCTTCCCCATTTCCTGTTACCAGCTTTTTTGGTTAACTTTCCAAAAATATTTTATTTGCATATAAATATTTACATACTTACTTCTTTGTATATATACATACTTTAACATAAATGGTAGAATATGGTACAACCACTGAGTATCTTACTTGCCACTTGACAATTCATCATGACAGTCCTATTCCATCAGTACATGAAAGATCATGTGGATGTTAAAAGTGAAAATTACCAACTGGCAGCACTATTTACTCTTCATGTTTTTGGACAATACTTAAAAATTTCTTTCTGAATGCTTATTTTGCCATTTTCTTAAACTGTCTTCCCCAGTATTCTCTCAGTCTTTATGTAGGGTTCTTTAGCTGAATTAATTTGGCTTCAAGGGAGGCTAACTTGGATTACTGGAAATTATCACCACAGACTCACATTTACATGTGCTCTCTATAGTTCCATTGTGCTTCCCCCACCTACCTCTACTCCTAGTTCCCCAAATCACTGTATTTTGCCTGAGAACTGACTCAGATTCATACCAGCATGCATACTGTCTCCTTAGACTTTTTCTTCCCAAGCTGCCCCCATTTTGAAGTGGACAAGAATTTTATCCATACTCCATTTCCCCCAGGATAGCAAATTTATTATGTGGACTGATCTGTGCTTCAGAGGAAGACTAGCAGCATTCTGATACATTCTGTGGATAACTATCCAGAAACATGCTATATATACATATACAAACTTTGCCTGCCACTTTTCTTTTTAAAAAAAAACAAGTAAAAAACATACTTTCCTAGAAGTCAGAGAAAATCCATGAGCAGTGGTAACTCTGAAATGGCTTCACTCAGTACTCAGTTTTATATTCCAAATTCTTGTTTGAGACTAGAAATATTTCTCCCATCCCTGTGTCCTCAGTTTAGGTGCCCTTGCTGTTAATTATAAGGAAATGGGTTTTCTGTGATTATGTAGGATAAAACATAAATGCTAAAAGAAATCATCTCCTCTCTATATGCAGGTGTTAACATTATCTGAATGACTAACATATTTAGGTATTTATATTCTCTAAGTTAACTTATAAGGGAGATTTTTTGAAGCAGTTAATCTCTAACAATACTTCTGATCTTTTGAGTTGTACCTGACTTTCAAACCTGGGATTATAAGAGAAGTAGCACATGTGGACCAAGCCACGGACTTCTTAGTCATGGTAGCCATTTTTGTTCCTTGGGAACTAAAACTATGATTCCACACCTTATACCACCACTGGCCCTTGTGGGGCTGTCCCCATAGTTCTGATTTGGCTATAATGGTAGACAGAAGGCTGGGCAGTAATGACCAAACTCAGGTCAAAGGCAACAGCTGCCAATCTGACCATTTTTAGAAGATCAATAACAGTAATTTAATTCATAAAAGCAGTTACCAGCCATTGGATGTTCCACAACTGACAGGCATGGTTCAGAGACTTCATTAAGTATTAACTCTCTCATCCCTCACACAGTCTTATAAGGTACATGCTATAATTATCTTCATTTTAGAAGATAACTGAAACCCACAGATGTCAAATAATTTGTCCTCTTGGACACAGCTACTTTGTTGAAGAGCAGAGATTTGATCCCAAGTAATCTGGCTCCAGACTGCATACTCTTGAGTAATGTGATATTCTATGTTAAATCATTTAAAACTTATCCAGATAGCAAAATCAAAACTTATTAAAAAGGTAGGTTGCAACTTTGAGTGGTTTAGCTTAAAATGAGAGTAACAGAGGCATTATGAGCAACAGGAAATAACTTTTCATAAAACTTTGCATAATATAAAGCAAACTTGAGTGAGGGTATGGGGCCACCTGCTCTGCCAATTAACCAGATGCCAGATAACACCCCAAGCCCATATGATTTATTCTGGTACACCTTGCAGAAAGACTACACACCTCTCTCGTTTTGGGGCAAAACGGCTCAGCCATTGGAATATGGCACACTCCTCTGGCACAAGAATGACTTCCATCATAGAAGGACTGAGGTCTCATAGTGGTCCTACAAAATAAAGCAAAAAAGGTTTTTGTTTGTTTTACTTTAAGGCCATCTTTCCATCCTCCAAGGGCTGGTGAGTCAACTTTATCTAGGTCAATATTTTGGTCTTTACTCTAGACTCAATTCCTCTGGATAAGCTGAAGACAATTGTTTACAAAAGCTTCAGGGTGGTATTCAGCTTTTTTGGCTCTGGGCTGGCAGCAACACACCACACAGCAAGAATTAAAGTGTCTGTGGTCTGGCAGCCGTGATGGGGAAACCACTTTGGATTGCAGGTGCAACTCAACTGTGGGCTCAGAAAGGCCAGGTAAAACACTTAAGAAGTCAATACGAAAATGTTTCATCATCACAGATGTGGAAAATCATATAGTTAACACCATATACACATCAGCCAGATTCAACAATTTCTTAAATTTTGTCCAACTTGCTTCCTCTATTAGCTTTTTCACAGACACAAATCTCAGGCTTTGACTCAGAGCAGATGCAAATTTCCCCAATGTCTTAAGAAAATTTGTTTTTAAACAGTTGCTTTGTTAGTTTCAGGGTCCAAACAAATACTTACCTTGCATTTAATTCCCATGTCTCTAAGAGTAATTCCTGCCTGTAACGCCAACTACACTGTTTCATGCCAGTGACCCACTGAAATAAACAGCCACTTGTCTTGCTCCATATTTAGGAATCTGTTTGCTGCCTCATTTAGATTGTTCTTTTTCCCAGCCGTAATTAATTCTAAAGTGTCTTAGTTCAAGTCCTATAACAAAACAGTTGTGAATCCATGAGAGGCTAAAATTAATCTAGCACCAAGTCACCTGGAAATTTCTTGTCAGAAGTTTTCAGAACAAGCCACTTTCTCTGTGCATTCAATTATTCTAAATTTGAACTGATGAGTAACACAGGGAGGAGCGGACAGCATGGGAAAGATGGGTCAAGGGAAGCCAACAGGGGCAGGTAGATAACATGATGTCCTCTTCCAGGGGTGGGAGGCAGCACTGAGAAATAGTTTTGCTGGTTCCGTTTACACAGCTGGCATGTCTACTGGCCAAAATTAACCTGTTACTTCTAGTCCATCACACACTAAACAGTGGCATTAGCTGGCACCAAGGCCACCTCACTCAGAAATAAGGCTTCAGTGCTCTGGAGGAATGAAAACCCCATCCGAGCTCCTCCCAACCCTCTGTCATATGTGCTGTAGGGGAAATGCTAAGTTAACCCCAAAGCAATTCCAGATGGAGTTGAAGAACAGGTCAAATGACTGTTTCAGCCTGTATAAACAGAGGCTTTTCTCTTTTTGAAAGATTAACCAATAAAACAGTGCCACGTACTCAACTTCAGCTCTGGCTTTGTTTCAGCCTTTGATGAGTCAAGCATTAGCAACATCCCCACTTATAACTATGATATGAAAACAGGGCCACAAAAGCCTCCAGTGGCTATACTCCAACTGACTTCCACACCATAACACTCACATCTCATCTACCTCTGCCCATCTCTTGTCTATCCCCACCCACTTGCCTTGGAACCCCCGCCTTTGTTTTGAACTTTTTAACATTAAGAATAACATGTATTTATGTTAAACTTCATGCAACGTTAACATGCACCTGATAATTATTAACTACAGTCTTAATTTCCTCTCATGCATTTTTCTTTCTCAACAAAGCTCCCTAACTACTAGCTATGTGGACTTAAACCAAATTGCCATATCTTTTTGAGTCTTCATTTTCCAATTGTAAAACATAGTATTCATCCACCTATTTACAAGGATGTTAGGAAGATTAAGTCAACCAAGATGTCCAGATAACTCATAGCAGCTCACAAGTGTGGGTCTGGGCTAGAGACAGAATTGGAGTCAGCACCAGATGGGGCCTCACAACACTCAACTTTGTAAGGTGCAAGCAAAGAGTTTAGCTCTGGGGAAGAAGCAAGGCCTTAAAACCATTTTTGGGCTATACTATCAAGACACTAGAAGGGAATGTGCAAATGAGGAATACCTCTTATAGTTTGCCCACCTATTTGCAGTTTTCTGCGTCATCAACTTAATTGTCAATACATCCAGTATTGAAACGTTTAATGATCTAAACTTAAATTCCTATAAACAGCAACACACCTGCACAGCATAACAGGATGTGTCATTGTTAATGCTGAATGAAATTCTGACCAAGAGCAATGGGGTTTACAATCACAGCTGAGGGGAGTGGATGATGCCCTCAAAAGAAATTCTAGAATGAAATGTGTATAACTTTAATAGCACCAGTCCTCCTTCTGAAGGTCTCTATCAGAGAAATCAGAAGTTTTACAACTTAGCAAGAAGCCTGGAATAAGTCTGCCAGTCACACCCCACAAAATGGGGACTGTTGCCCAATTAAGCCTGCCTGTTCACTTTCAAGTTCCAGCCAAAACAGCTCTTCTATATTAAGAATCATATTTCTCCCTCATGCTGAATTTTCTGAGTGACACGGAGAAAACACAGGAAACATAGTTTTGTCCCTGGATTCAAATGAATTTTTGTGTGGTCTTGGGCAAATTACTGAGCTTCTTCAAGTTCTTTCTTCATGAGGTATTAGCAACATCCCTATTGCTACAGTCTGAAGTTTTGTGTCCTCCCAAAATTCCTATGCTGAAATCCAAACTTCCAAGATGTGATGGTATTAGGAGATGGAGCCTTTTGGAGGTGATTAGGCAGCTCTCTCATGATTGGGATCAGACCCCTTATCTTATAAAAGAGATCCCAGAGAGCTAGGTCGTCCTTCTACCACCATGTAAGGACACAATGAGAAGGTGCCATCTGTGAGAAAGAGAGTCCTCACCAGACACCAAATCTGCTGGCAACTTCCCAGCCTCCAGGACTGTGAGAAATTTCTGTTTTTTAGAAGCTACCCAGTCTATGGTATTCCATTATATCAACCTGAACAGACTAAGACACACATTTACACCCTTGCTTAAATATAAAAACAAGGCTGCAAAAACTTCCAGTGGCTACCTCCCAATAGATGATGATGCAATAACATCTCCATTTTAGATTTCAAATAATGGCCCCTCCAAAGATGTCCACATGCTAACCTTTAGAACTTATGAGTATATTACTTTAGATGGCAAAGGGGAACTAAGAGAGCAAATGGAATTAAGGTTGCTAACAAGCTGACTTTAAAATAGAAAGGTTATTCTGGATTAACTAGGTGTGTGGCATGTCTTCACATGAGTCCTCACATGTGGAAGATGGAGGCAGAAGAGTCAATGTCAGCATGATGACAGGTGAGGACTCCACTGCCATTGATGGCTCTGAAGATGGATGAGGGCCATAAGCTAAGGAATGTGAGTGGCAAAGGTCAGGGAAAGGGATTCTCCCCTAAGCCTCCAGAAAGGAATGCAGCCCTGCTGACAATTTTTTTAGTTTCAGTGAGACCCATGATACACTCCTAATTTACAAAACTAAAAGGTAAGGTCTGCTTCTTACTCTTGCTTTAACCAGTAAACCCCTCTAGCTAGGCAAGGGGACTAATTTTTATCTCCCAATTAGCTTGGGATCCTACTGGAAAACATGGATTTCAGGGACTGACTTATCCACTGGCTTTACCACTCACTAGCTGTGTGCCTCTGGGAAAGTCACTCTCGTCTCTCTGCACCTCAGTTGTATCAGTTTCCTTAAACGGGTGCAATCCCACTGACCTATAAAGTCCCCGTGAGAACCGAATGAGACTACATGAAGCAAGTGCTTGGCATTTGTCACTATCATTTATGGAAAATATGCTTCTGAACATTTCTTCTGCCAATCCCAAAGTATGACATATTGATGGGCCTCAAGTCAAGGGTATCCAACGAATTGCTTAAGGTTGTCAAGCAGGGATATGTGAAAAGAAGTTAGCCGACAAATTAAAAAAAAAACCTGCCTATGGAAAAGTAAAGGAGACAAAATGATGTGTTCCAGCAAGAAAAATGAGTTCAAGACAGTTAAAGAGAGAACACTGGCACTTTCAAAGAGAGGGAGAAAAGCCTAGACATAGATTGACTGGTAGGTTGTTTCTTGAATCAAGACTCTTACATTGGCTTGAAGATAGCCGTTGGTTAATACGTTTCCTTTGAGGAAATGTGGTGTTGCAAACAAGCTGAGGGCAAACACCCATCCCCCAGCATAAGCAAACACAATCATCGACCTCTGAGGACGTTTCAGAATATGGTCTGTATCCACAACAAGCCCCAACATGCAGAATCATGAGTCAATTAATTTACTGGCAGAGCAGAATAACGGCTGCTCATAAGGAGGATGGTTTAGGGGAAGTGAATCTACCCATCATTTAAAATATATCCCAAGAATCAAACAGCAGCGTGAATAGGCAGTCATGAGAAAAAATTCGGACAGAAACATCAGACTAAGAAGTGGAACAATTCTGTCTTAATAACCAGAAGTAAGTGAGGCTCACACATGTAATCCCAGCACTACAGGGGGCCAAGGTGGTTGCAGCCTTTGAGTTTAGACGTTCAGGACCAGCCCAGGCAACATAGTGAAACCCCGTCTCTACAAAAACATACGAAAAATTAGCTGGGAGTGGCGTCACACGCTTGTAGTCCCAGTACTTGGGGGCCTGAGGTGGCAAGATCACCTGAGCCTGGGAGGTCGCGAGGCTGTAGTGAGCTGTGGTGCCACGGTACTCCAGCACGGGCAACAGAGTGAGATCTTGTCTCAAAAAAAGAGAAGTGAAAACTTATGAATTTGGAGCAATATCATTAAGATCCTCCTACTGTTCTAATATCAACAGTGCCCCTGAGTGCTGATGGTGGCATAAAAAAGGAGGAAAACCAATCGATGTTTATATCCCAGTCAAGCAAGGCTGCTTAATAAACAGGTAAGTTTTCCCTTATTTTCTATTATATTTCATGAGATCATGCTAAACAGTAGCACAAAAATAAAAATCCTCACTCTACACAGGTGGTGACAACAATCTCTTTGGGCCTCAGTTTTCTCACTTTTTGTAAAAGGGAAGGATAAGGTAGACAGAAGATGTCTTCTACAG